GTGGGAAGATGTTGTGTAGGCAGTCTGGAGATTTTGTGGGAAGATGTTGTGTAGGCAGTCTGTTTCCTTTTTCTGCTGTTCCAGTGCGTTTGTGCTCGTCTGAATAATGTTCTTGCACAGCTCCTCTTGTGGGAGGTTGGGTTGTTACTTGGGTGATGGAGCACTTGGTTAGGGTGGGCTGTTTTTCGATAGACTTGCGTTTCTAATTTGCCATTGTTTCCTCTGCTGACGAGGATATCCAGGAAGGGTAGTGTGCTGTTGTTTCTGTCTACTTCCCTTGTGAATTTTATTCCTTTGAAGATGTTATTGATGGTTCCATGTGTCTTCTCTGGTTGTACATTTTTTATTGCCTGCAGCTATTTCCACACACGTAATCCCACCCCAATTCACAGCTACTTTGGATTTATTTTAATTCTACATAAAACGGTGCCATCTTTGTTTGTCTATAATTAAATTATCAATTTTGGACTGACTTACATTACCTTTAAAAAAAAAAGAGTAAACAAGAAAGCAAAGTCCTTTCAGTGTCTATTCCACTTGAATAAGACACCAAGAGGCATCCCATCCTTAAAGAGAAACAACATGCTCCCACAGTGATCTATCCAGGCCCAGTGCACAGAGGGCAGCAGGCAGTCATGCACAACTAGATGTTTTGGCCACAAAGCAAACCATGGGTTAACACAATAAATACAAGCACAGTGTAAAATTCCTGGGGAAAAAGCAGTCTTTTTATTTGGTGACAAAGAGAAAGTGAATGTAGCATCAATTTTTCCTTCTGCAACACAGGAAAACTAACTATCTCTTAACAATGTCAAGTTGGAGATCCTTAAAGGGGGCAGAGGGAGAAGGTATTTGAAAAATCAAGAAAATAATTATCTTTATGTTGATTACCTTACCTGCTCTGCTTTTCTTGCTATGAGATTGCCAATGGTCTTGCTGAAGAAACTGGCCAGCAAAGGGTTCAAGGGAGGCTCATGGTCCAAGAAGTCATAGAGGATGTTCCACAAAGCTTCATCCCCCACCAGCCTGTCACTGATCTGTGGTACATCCGAGGTCAGCAATTCACAGGCAGTGTTGGGATACCTGCAAGAGCAGAAACAAAGCCAAGACAAAAGGCTGATGAAAAGTTCAAATCCAAGCAGGTTTTGGAACACGTTGTATGATCTCCCTAAAATCAGTCAGAAGGAGCTGGCCAATGCCTGCCACCTAGGGCTTGAACACCAGTGTGAAACACGCAAAGAACATGGTATAGGCAATTAAGCCTCTCCAAACAGGAGTCTGGATTAAGTTCTGATAACGGGGCATTCATGTACACAGATGCCAGGCATGTGGAGAGCTGGGACCTCTGGCTCCCTTGTGGGGGGAGGGGTGGTCTCATCATTCTTACTGCACCTTCCTGCTTTCCTGGGGAGAACCAGGTCAGTATACTGTCACTTTATTGTGGGGGGGGGGAGGATTTCTCTTTGCACTACTTTATTCAGGAGGATGAAAAGAGGCAAATTTCATGCTTCTCTTGGTAGTTTAACAAAACAGAGGAGAAGTGTCCTTAAATAAAATATTTTCAGAATGAGTGGACTGATTCAATAAAAAAATGAAAATGTTTTATTATGCATATCAAGGGTTTAGGAAAAGAGAAAAAAAAAAACTAATTTGGAAGAAGTTCCCTCAGCTGGCTGCTTCCTCATCAAAATCTCTCCCCCCCCACACACACACACCAACAGAACAAGTTCCCAACAACTCAGATCAGTCCATAAAATAAACACAAGATACAAATGGTCAGAGAGATATGTCAGGTTGTGTATTTTTGGTCGTCCATAGAAGCTGTTACTCCCTGGTAAGCCCTTAATAACCAAAGCCATGAAGTCCTTCAGGCTAACTGATAAAGATCAGCAGAGGAAATAACACTAAATTAGAAACCCAAGTTTATCGGAAGACAACCCACACCAATCAAGTACTCCACTACCAAAGTAACAACCCAACCTCCCACAAGAG